ATTGAGTGACTCATGAGTTCCGCCGTATCGATATCGACGATCTCTGGCATTTGTTGGCTTAGTGATGAAGCCAGTAGGCCAGGTGATAATGACTGAGGCTGTGGCTCCGGTATCGGCACCTCTGTCGGTATCGGTGCATCCTTCGATGTCGACGCTATTGAGTGACTCATGAGTTCCGCCGTATCGATATCGACGATCTCTGGCATTTGTTGGCTTAGTGATGAAGCCAGTAGGCCAGGTGATATTGACGGAGGTTGTGGCTCCGGTATCGGCACCTCTGTCGGTATCGGTGCATCCTTCGATGTCGACGCAGCCGTAGACTCCGGCAGCAACTGTGGCGGGTTCTGCAAAGGAACGCCCTCAGGGGGCCCGGTCTTACCCTCCTTAGAAGACTTGGACTGCTTGTCCTTTTTAGTGGCATGTTCCTTTCCAGACTTGCCTTTAGATGACTGTTTTGAAGCGACCTTCGATGTCGATCTTGTCGGTATCGATGCTCCGGTATCGACGGCAGCACGTGAGGTAGAAGGTTGGTCCGCCATAGCAGAAGGCGGGTGAAGAGCGGATTCCAACAGAGCGACCTTTAACCGTGCGGCACGGTTCTTTTTCGTCTGATTAGAAAATTTAGCACAATGCTTACAAGTATCTGCTCTGTGTGACTCGCCTAAGCAGAACAAACAAAGTTCATGGCCATCTGGAGGGGCCAATTTACTTCCACACTTCTTACAGCGGTTGAAAAAGCCCCACTTCTGACTCTTCTTTTTCTTTTCCATACGGTGGGAAGAGACAAATGCCGGGGAAAAGTGAAGAGGGAAGGGGGGGGGAAGGCCCGAAGGCCTGAGGAGATTCCCCTCAGGAAAACAAAAGTTCTCGTTTTTCTTCTTCTTCTTTTTTTTTTTTAAAGAAAACTGAAGTAAAGAAAATAAAACGGAGGATGATCCTAAGAAACAAAGGAATAAGGTAAAGGCCCGAAGGCAGTAACAGCTATCCGGTCAGGAGGAAAGGCAAAAAGGTCCTTTCAACGCGGCGGTAGAGAGAGAACTGGCGGGATCTCCGCGCCCGTCCCTCTGGGCATGCGCGCTGGGGTTCCTGCGCATGCTCAGTGGGACTCGCGCGAAAATCCTTTGAAACATAGCTTGCTACAGCACCGGTCAGGTCAGCGCAGGCGCACTAAACCCCATTGGTGTGAAGCACAGAGACCACGAAGAAGATCTGAAGGACATGTTTATCAGTTTTGGTATTCCAGCACAGCTTGTGAGCAATAATCCACTTAAATTTATTTCAGACCCCTCTTATTTGCTGATATGTTATTACTAATACTCATCAGCTTCACACAAATGGGAAGGCAGCAAAGAGAAACGTGCAAGCTGCAAAAAAACCCCTAGCAAGACAGAATCTACATGCAACTTCTCTCTGCCAATAGGGTATGTAATAAATAACTCAACTGCCAATGGGAAGACAAATCCCAACATCCATTCCAAACCTACAGAAGACTAGCCCAATCTTGTCAGATTTCGGAAGCTAAGAGGGGTCGGCCTTGGCTAGTATTTGGAAGGGCAACCTCCAAAGAATACCAGGGTCGTCACGCAGAGAAAGACAATGGCAAACCACCTCTGAAACGCCTTACAACAAGTCTAGTTCACCACCTAGTAGGCAATAATGCTAAAAGAGCTAGAACTTCTAGCTGCCAGGCAATCCTAGGATCTCTTGGCTATACTACACACAATGCCATAAGATAATAACAACAACAACCTCACTCTAAAGGGGCTACTTCATTACAAAACTGAAAGCAACTCTGAACATTTCTCTAGCCAGTGCTATTCATGTGGGAGAATTTATTTTATTAAATGTACGTAAAATACTGAGGGGCCTGCCTTTCTCTCAACAACTGAGACCTAAGGCAGGTAACAAAGTCAGTATCAATTACAAAAGAAGATCAATTTTAAAACAACAACAGCAAATGTTTACACAAGATCCCAGCAAGGAAGCCAGCAAAGACTTAGATGAGGGGTCCCCACCTGTGGACTCCTTTAGAGTTCTGAGAAGAGGCTGCCACAGGAGAAGCAGCCAAATGGAATACCTCCCTCCTCACATCTCCTGGAAAGAAGGACAGCCTAAGGGGGGGGACTGGACCCCCATACTAAGGTGCTTACCGGTTTTCATGATCCTCCAGTGGCAAGTGTTTTCATTTGAATGGGGGGCATCCAAGAACAAGCCCTGCCTTACAATGGCCTCAACTGCTTTCTGAAAAGCGCAGTGTGTGGAAGAGGAGGAGGAGGAGACTGGATTTATACCCCGCCCTTCACTACCTGAAGGAGTCTCAGAGTGGCTTACAATCCCTTTCCCTCCCCACAACAGACACCCTGTGAGGTAGGTGGGGCTGAGAGAGCTCTGAGAGAACTGCCCCTGAGAGAACAGCTCTGAAAGAACTTGTGACTGACCAGCAGCTGCACGTGGAGGAGTGGGGAATCAAACCCAGATCTCCCAGATGAGAGGCTGCACTCTTAACCTCTACACCAAACTGGCTCTCAAGTGCCAAGGGAAGTACTGGGGGGGGGGCGCCATGGTGCCCATGGGCATCAGGTTGGGGAACACTGGCTTAGATAGTATAACATCCTCATTATGGACCACTGATTAAAATTCCATTGAAGAGACGGTGGCAAAAAGATGAGACGACCCCAGCTGCTATACATGGAAAGAATGAAACACATCCAAATGACATACTCTCAAGACTTCATGTAGAGAACTTAAAAGAAATCAACATCTTGGTTTGTGGCTGGCGACTGTTCCTTCTCAACAACAAGGCAGACAATGATGGTAGTAATATTAAACTTATTTGGCCAACATATAATCCTAGGCAGAGTTACTCTAGTCTAAATCCACTGAAATCAGTGGGCTTAGACTGCAGTAACTCTGTACAGGATTGCACAGTCAAGCAACTCAAGTCGTAGCTGTTTACACGATTGCTGTACTGTTTAACCGCCATTTACAATAAACCAGGGGTCGTTTCGTAGAAAAAGAGCTAGGGGAACTCATTAGCATATGCCACCCACCCTGACATCACCAGAAGTGTGTCATAAGGCCACACCCCCTGGCATCACCGGAAGTGTGTCATAAGGCCACACACCCCGCCCCCAACGGTCCCGGCTGCCGCCGGCGGCCTTGCAGCTCCACTGCCGAGCCCCATGAGGGGCCCGGCGGTGGACCTGCAAGGCCGGCGGGAGTGCAAGGAAGCCCCGCAAAAGCCCTCCCTGGCCCCAGGCAGGCAGGGGTGGGGAGAGGCAGGGAGGAAGCAACTTACCCTCCCTCTTCTCCTGCCTCCTCCTGGCTAAATGAGGGCTGGAAGCGGGGCGGCCGGAAGCAGGGGTCGGGGCTTCGTCATGTGCCCCGCCCCCCCATACCTCCAGCAACTCATAATTGGGGGTTAATGACAGTGTTTCTCTAATTCCAAGCTGGTAAGACTTTTAAAAATAGTGAAAAGTTTAGAGATTCTCTCTCACATGCACACACTGAATGAATGGATAGTCTCTTTTCAAGACTAACAGGTGGGGATTCTTGTGTTTACCCCTATTTTCATAAAAAAGAATCGTCAACAAGCCTGTTTACTACCAGTTATCCTCTCCTGGCCAGTGGAGATATTTTATTTCAACTAATAATGAAGAAAAGTGTGTATGAAGGGCTGTCTCTTATTGTTTAACTACTTACTACATGAGTACTATGGGAATCCCCCGGGAATGGCTCTGTGTGCATGCGACAACAAGAAATAGCAAGGAAACTCAAGCGGCAGGAACACAGATGATGAAATTGCCTTATACTGAATCAGACCCTTGGTCCATCAAGGTCAGTATTATCCACCCAGACAAGCAGCAGCTCTCCAGGGTCTCAGGCTGAGGTCTTTCACATCACCTATTACCTGGGCCTTTTAACTGGAGATGCCAGGGATTTAACCTGGGGACCTTCTGCATGCAAAGCAGAGGCTCTTCCACTGATCCACAGACCCTCCCAGGAACCGTCACTCCCCTCCTGCTGTGTGCAAATGGGGCTAATGCTGATCTTACCCAACCTACTGACCAACTTCAGCCCAGCGAGTGACCAAAGGAGCCACAGCAAGGCAGGCAGGGGCCCGCCCCCAAACCAGTGAAGCCAAGGAACCATGGCAACAATGAGTGAACAACCTGTACATCTATTTAGATCATGACTTTTTAGTTCTCATTTGCACCAGTGACACAGTAATAGCTGTGGCTGTGTTGGGCTGATCTGTGTTTGCCCTTGTTCCTGCATGGATATTTTGCTTGGGGCCAGGGGACTTTCTACCGTTTGGCCAAGTACACAGGCTATAACACCTTACAGCCAAGGCTGCACTCCGCTGGGTGCATGGCCTCCTCCACGTTAGTGCTGGGTACTATCCCCTTAATCCCGCCAAGCTCCACCCATGGATCACTCTGGGTCCCTCCTAGGTATCAGACTTCAGATATTTGTCAGTTTGGTATCTCTAACTTAAACCAAGAGAGAAACAGAAATATCACTGAAATGCACCACTTGGACTCACTATGAAACCATGCACCCACCCGCTACACCAACTGCTGAGACACTTACCTGGGACGAATTGGATGGTCTTGAACTTATCCTCCAAAGCAGTTTACTGCCAGGTATGACTTGCACAGTCTCTTGGACCTCAGGCATATCATCCACTTCATCGTTTTCAGCATCCTCGCTCTGACACAAAGACATGACAGTTCACAGTAAATCAACTGGAGAGTTATATCAATGAAGGGCCTCAGATTCAACATTCTTGGCCCTCTCTTTCAGGAATCTATCAGTTCCACAATGGCAACATCATTTACTATTTCTCTCATATTCATCTCTTTCCATTCCCAGCCTCACCCTACCCACCACAATCAGCAAACTTATTTTCCACAGGGGGTCACATGGAAGGTCAAGAATCTCGATACGGTGAAGAGCACCCCTTGGCCATGGCTTCTTTGCTATTTACTTGAGGGGCTCTTTTATTCTCTCCCGCCCCACATTCTCTTCGCTGCTGTTGCAATAATCAACAGTGACTAGAAACTTCTGTTGTCAGGAAATGTATTTCCAAGCAATAGGCAGAAGGGAGCTGGATGAACAGTACAGGGGAGGCATCAAAAACACCTAGGGTAGCATAATCCACAGGCTGTATTTGGTACACGGTTCGGGTTGCCAGACCTCCCGTTATGCAAAACAAAGAAAATAATCTGTGCTCCACAATAAACCACCACAGGTCTTAAACAACTGTATCAAAATGTAATAAGGATACAACTTGTGGTTGTTTATTGTTGAGCAGATTGTTTCCTTTGTTTTGCATACTTCTTCTGTGCTGCTCTTAGTTTTGTTTTAGGCCTCCTGTTATGGTGGGAGGTCTCCCATGGATAGTCTCCATCGCCCGCTACAGCTCCGAGTGGCAGGAGGAGAAAAATAAATCCTGCCAGCACACCACTTTCAGGTGAAACCCGGAAGTGAACAATGGATAGCTCTATGAACCACCAGAACAATATGGTTTCACCACAGAGTTTCTACCAATTCCTAGAGCTACTCCTTGTCACTTACAGGCTGTATGAGCAAATTATGTAGTGACTACAATCAGTGTTCCCTCTAAGCTGAGTTAGTGTGAGCTAGCTCACGGGTTTTTAGCCTCTGGCTCACCCATTTTTGCCTTAGCTCAGGAAGGGATGGCTCCAGAGCAAACTAAGTTATGCAGTAATCAAATCACTTGCTCACAACTTTAATGCCAGTAGCTTAGAAAGTAGAATTTTTGCTCACAAGACTCCACAGCTTAGAGGGAACATTGACTACAATGGTGTCACACACTCTCCCCCATGACCCTGCCTTTCAACCCTCCTGCTGCCTGCCAGACCAGTACAGCATACTACCCCCTCCTATGGTTTGAGCTTTTCTTTTTAAAAAAATATTATTCAGTGCTGAGCGATTGTTATCTAAATTATTTTTCTCCTTCAATTCTCCAATATCAAGGAGGATGATTACAGGACAGCTATTTATTCACAATTTTTGCTGAAATGACAAGAAAAATACTTCCTCAGTAAACATCGGATTTACAGCTGGAACCCTCCCCAAACACAGACTCATCAAGAGGGGAGATTTGATTTTTGCTCCATTAAAGAGACTGGAGATCAGCAGTGTTCAAAACAAGCGGGAGGCCAAATGGAAAACTTTTTGATGGTTCACAGAGGGAATCCATTAGAGGGTTTTTAAAAGTCTGAACAGGAAACGTATGAGCTTAACAGCAGAATATCTGTTTACCGCTTTTCAATTTAAAATAGCATCGTCCCAGAACATATAGGTACCAATCCCATCATGTGCATCTCAAGACAGTAAGATGTGAATCAATCTCTGTAGCAGCAGCTACTAAGTATGAACCGAGATGTCTCCCAGCCATCATTCCAGAAAGAGTGTCTTCACCTCCCACTGAAACCAGTGGGATTTACAGAACATGGCAATTTGAAGGATTTGGACTACTGTCATACAGGTAATCAACAATGCCAGCAGTATCTAAGCCCAGCTCATATCGCATTGATTTGATTTCTCCCGGTGTTTTCTTTGGGAGACACCTTCCGCAGCAGAAGACACAGCCCTTCTCTTCCCCTAGAACGATTTCTTTATTTTCAGATATTCCTTTCCTATGGCCTCAACAAAAATTCTTCTGAGGCTGCTGACGATAGGTTGGATCTAAACTCACATCTCCACTGGTACAAGCATTTGGAACGTGATTCCCCACCCCTCTCTCCCGCAGCAGCCCCAAATGCCCTCACCCCTGAAACCCTGTTCTTGGAGGAGAGGGGGCACTAAGGAACAGAATACCGGGGGTGGGGGGGCACTGCCATGGGAGAGAAGAGGAGTTAGGAAGATCACACACTGCAGGCGAAAGTGCTTGCATCCGCAGAAGCATCTTGTCTGGATCCAAGTGTCGTGGTGGACTTCCACGACACAAGTCAGCATCTGTTAATAATAAAGACGGCAGTGGTGGAAAGTGCCATCGAGTCACACAGCCCACTTATGGCAACAGTGTAGGGTTTTCAAGGCGAGAGATGCTCAGAGCTGATTTGCCATTGCTTGCCTCTGCGTGACAACCCTGGCATTCCATGGCGGTCTCCCATCCAAATACTAGCCGGGGCCGACCTTGCTTAGCTTCCAATATCTGATGGGATCGGGTTAATCTGGGCTATTGGATGGGCTAATGAAGACAGTAGCAGATATAAAGTAATTCAAAGTAGCAGTAAAAACCAGGCAAGGATAAGAAGAGCAGCAAGACTGCAGGCTTTAAAAAAGCGATAATGAACCAAAAACAGCGGAGATAGAGCGATTAAAAGCCAGCAGTTAGAGATAACCAAAGGTGTGGTGCCAGTGACTTAAAAAAATCAGATGTTTTGATAAGCATCTACACCAGAAGAAGAGATTGGATTTATACCCCGCCCTTCACTACCCAAAGGAGTCTCAGTGCGGCTTACAAACTCCTTTCCCTTCCCCTCCCCACAACAGACACCCTGTGAGGTAGGTGGGGCTTCTCTTCTTCTTCTAAGCTCTACATCAGGAGCTTAGGGCACAACAGATTTGATACCACACAAATGTCTGTGGGGAAGAAGTTACAGTATCAGCATTGCAAGGCAAGCGCGTCAAAGCTCACTTGCCTTAACTCTGAAAAGGAAGGCATGCAGATTAAGGCCTCTGGCCTTAGTCATCGGGACAGTATGTAGGGGAGAAGGCAGTACTTCAAAATATGCCATTCTCAGACTACGTAAAGAGTTTGACACCACACAGAATTCCATTTGGAAACAAATGAGTAGACATAATTGGCGAGATATGGCCCCTACAGTTCCCACTGGTGAATAAAATCAAAGTTTTTGGACAGTATTCAAAGGCAGCCTCACATAGAATACATTGCTGTAGTCTAATCTGAACGTAATCAGAGAGCACAAAGGTGACCAAGATCACACCTCTCAAGGAAGGTCCACAGCTGGTGCCCCAGCTGAGCTTGGACAGAGTACTTTGCACCACAAAGGAGAATTGTGCCTCGACTTCAGGTGATGGTGGCGTGCTAGAGCAGACTCACCTCCCGGACCTCCCGGGGGTGAAGCTGTGCTCCAGCCGAAGGAGGGGGTGCGCAGGTTCGTCACCCCCCCAGAGACCCAGTTGAAGGGACTCTGGCCATGGAACTCCTGAGAGGTCGCCTCTTCGATGACGGAATGCCGGAGAATTGAGGCGCCTCTCCGTTCCGATGGTTCTCCGTGCTGAGAGACCAAATGGACTCAAGCAACGCTAACTGGGGCAAGCGCAGGAGATCGAGCGTTTAAAACCAAAAGTATACGAGGTCCGAGGACTGCTTATGAACGTGAGTCGTTTAAGCGTTGATTAAAGAGAAAAGAATGCTCCCCACCCTAACTACGCAATAGAGAATAGGCGAGCGAGGGAGGGACGCCTCACGAGCGCATGAACCTTTGAGCGAATGAGGAGGGGAGCGGAAGAATAAGCGGTTAAAACTGTTAAGAAGTACTTAAAAAGGAGTGTTTGAGCGTTTAAACGCATATTCAGAGACTTTCAAAAAGTTTGCGAAAGTAAACAATCCGAGAAACATGGCGGGGAAGAGGCCGGAAAAGGAGAAACTTTTGAAAGCGAAAGGAATTGAGAGCCCAAAACCGGAAGGAACCAACGAGCGGGCAAAGACTTTGGCAGAATCCATGCGCCCCCTAATGGACCAGTTGAATAACTTCAAGGAACAGATGACCAAAGTGACTCAATGTATCACGGCTCAGCAAGACCAGATAAACGAGACTCTGAAAATGATGAATCAAACAGCTGAGAAGGTGAAAAAAGTGGATGCCACTGCACAAAAGGTGAAGAAGAAAGTGAAACAACTGGAAAAGAAGCAAGTCTCCACAGAAGATCTGCTGCTGCAATTACAAATGGAAAAGGCTAATATGATCCTTCGCTTCCAGGGCATGTCAGAGACTAAGGGTGAGAATCTAAAGGAAATGATGAGTGAAATACTGGCCCCAGTGACAGAGATGATGGTGGAACAGTTGATAAGCGATATGGATGTGGCCTATAGGTCATATTCAGGATATATAAAGAAAAATAATCTGCCTGGGGAAATTGTCGTAAGATTCTCGAAGAGGCATGTGAGGGATGAAATCCTGAAAGCAGTATCTGGAGTACCCCTGAAAGTGGTGTGTAACCTTCAAAATCAAAGATAAAAAAGAAAAGATTGACTCTGTTCTGAAAGCTCGGGAATTTTTAAGAGTCCAGTTGGGAGGGCCAGAGGAGGAAGAAAAAGAAGGGGGGGACAGTAAGTCCAGTGGCGAGCTGGACTCGGATTCTTCCAGAAAGGACTCTCTTTCAGAGAAAGGGGCAGCAGTTCCTAAAAGCCCTTATAAGTTGCGGAAGAGACGGGGCAAGGAGAAGTGAAGGCTGAAGGACTCTGATGTGTGCTTTTTAAAAATGCTGAATTGAGATGCTTGGGGGTATTTCTTAATAACAGTTGAATTTAAGAATTTTAAAAGACAATGATATATTTGTCAGTTTGTAAAGGGACTAGTGGAATTAAGACTTGATGTTTGTGTAAGCTGATTAAAAGATCTCCTCTCTTGGGTTTTTAGGTATTAGTGGGTATCTTTACTTGTCCCTAGATGTAGTCCCTTATCCTATTTCTGTTGTAGTTTGTAGTGTTTATAAAAATGTAATTAAAAAAATCCCCTTTGGGGGGCTCCAAAAAAAACAGAATTGTGCCTCCACCCAAAGATGCAGATCTATTAGATCCCTCAGTGTAGTAATATGCTTGTTATGTGAGAATACAACCATGTCCAGAACAGGCTGAAATCTAGAGTTCCTGACTGGCCTGTCCATCAACCAACAAACTCCCAGTCTCATCTGGACAGACTATCTCCAAGCCATAACCGTCTCTCAGCACTGGTTCAGAACGTCTACTGTCTCACCTGACTGAGATGAACAACTGATGACATCTCATGTCAAATCTCTAGTCAGTCTCTCCCAGCTGTTCCAAGTAGATGGTAAACAGCTCAGGGAACAAGATGGCATCCAGCCATCCAGACAGAAATGGAATCACCAGAGAGCAGTGCCCCAATACCCACCTCAGCCAATCTTTCCAAAAAGGATGCAGTAGTTGATAGTATCAAAAAAGATTACCGGTTTGGGTTTCTTCTGGTCACTGCCACCTCGCCTTTCATTCTTTTTGGAGCTTTCGTAAGTCGAAGGATCGATACACCACAAGCATTCTGTCCATTTGCCATAGATCACTGAGAGTTTCTTCTTACTGTTTATTGGGGGGGAGGAAATGAACCTTTCAGCGTCTGCAAAATGTCTAAGCTTCACCAAAGTATGGTATGAAACTGCAGATTACTTTTAACATGGGGCTGCTGCTCAAGGAAACATTCTGATGGTGAACTCCCCGCCACACACATGTAACATGGAGAATCACTCACTGTTCTCACATCATTCTGTTTTGTTTCTCTCCATTTCCACTATCCAGTGGTATTGAACTGGGCTAGGCAACTGCATGACATGAGGAAACAGGTTAAGTGATCCTACATGTTATCCTGGAAATGTAGTAGTTGGCCAGAGGATGAGGAATTGGACAGATTGCAACATTTAGATTCATTTTTAGGCCACACATTCTTTAAATAATAGCAGTAGTACTGCATTTTTTAAAATTTGCCAACGTTTAAATGCACATAGAAAAAAGGAGACATTTTATTCCTGAAGATACCACTGTTCATTTATTGGCCAACATTTTTAAAAATCACAAACATACATGTTAAGTTCTCAAACTTAAGGGCTATGTACAGAGTAGCTGATTCTTGCCATTTCACTGTTACAGAGTGAGAAAAGAACATGTTAAGGACTGGTATTTTCCAGGTATTTTTAAAGCTGAATACAGATCAGAGAATCTGACTGGCTACTGGCATAGCTGATCCCAAATTAAGTCTATTTTTTTCGGCTTTTTTCCGGGCATATTCGACCAAACTGAATAGTTGATGGGGGAGAAGTTTAAAAGGCTACAAAGTTAACTTTCAGTTCTTTCCTCTAAGGCTCTTTCCCGTCTTTTTGCTCTGGTTTCCAGGGCAACAGGAGGGAGGGGGAGGAGGCATCTCTGCAGCCCAATGGCAAAAGCACCTTAGGGGGTTAGAGCCAATCATTGCAATGCTTTTGCAAATGGCATTGCACTGCAGGTCTGCAACTTGCAAGGTTACTGGCTTCAAATGTGAAGTCCAACTAAGTAACTACCTTGATTCCCTCACCCATTTCCCCGGGAACAGAAGGGAGGGGGGAAGGAGCAATGGCAATTTGGCAAATAGGATTTCAGGTTAGGGGGAACGCTGCTCCTTAGCCAATCACAGAAGTCTAGTGTTGTTGTTTTTTTTAAAAAAAAATTATGTGCCTAGGCAAAGAGCATAAAAGCAAGGATCTGGCTGAGCTAGACTCTATTGCTGAGAGAGGTTTGCAGACTGTGCACTGTCTTTGGCTTCAGCTGCTGCTATGAGCCTAACTCCTGATTGCCTGGAGAAGAGTGAAGACAACGACTGGTTTGACTAAACAACATTTTAAAACGTTTTCTTATTTTACTGTTAGTTGTTCTTTGGGCTTGGTGGGTGGTAGGTTGGGGGGGGGGGGGAGGCCAAGGGCCTTAGGCTTTTTTGGTTCCCTTTGGTTTTATTCTTAGGTTTTAGTTCCTTCTGGTTTTGTGGTTTGCAGTTGTTTCTGTGGCGTTCTGTTGTTGTTTGGGTCTGGTGGTAGGTTGTATGTGTGGGGAGGCCAAGGGTTCCTTCCTTCTGCTTTGCTTCTTTGGGGTTGGTTTAAAACCTGGTCAACTTATTCCTTTTTGGTTCTCTTGAGGGGGCTTGTGGTGGGTTCTGCTTGGTTTATTAAAAAAATCTCTTTATTTTACTTGAATTTTTCTCTCTCTCTTCTTCACCATTCTTTGCTCCCCCCCCTTCTTTTTCTCTTTTTTTGGGAGTTGGTGAGGGTGAGGCTGTTGCTTGTTTCCTCCGCTCCCCCCCTCTTTTTGATCTGGTGTGTGTGCGCGTGAAGGGGCTTTTCATTTAGGTTCTTCTTGCTTTCTCTTCTAACTTAAGTCCCTTTTCTTACCTTTCCCCCCAGTAGTTTCTTTCCCCATATTTCTTCCCTTTAATTTCTAGAAGGCTGGTTTTAGGAGGGAGGGGGGTGTTGAAGTTCACTGTTATGTGTTCCAAGTGTGTGCTGCTGGGAACTAGTAGGTTGGCACTGGGTTGTGCTGCTGGGCACTAGTGCACCGGTTAGGGATGTGCATTTCGGGATCCCGAACCGAAAAAAAAGCCGAAAATAACGATTTTCGGCTTTTTTCGGCTTTTGGGATCCCGAATTAGCAATTTATGAGCTTGTCCGAATCCCGAAAAAAATTCCCGAAAAATTCGGGTCCATTATAACCAATGGGGCCATTGAAGTCAATGGCAAAAATCCTCTTGAAACTTTGCGGGGGGCTGGGGGGGAGGGGGTTTGGGGTAGAGGCTCCAAACTTGGAGGGAGCTCACTGGAACCTCTTCCCAACATGCCCACCAAGTTTCAAGGCGATTGGACAAGGGGGTACAATTTTATGGCCCCCCAAACAGGTTGCCCCCAGATCAGCTTGCTGCAGTTTATTCGCGGTTTGCCGCCGAAATTCGGCGGCAATTCGGCAACATTGTATCCTATGGACCTTGGAGTGGGTAAGCTCCAAACTTGGAGGGTGGTTACTAGAACCTCTCCCCTACATACCCACCAAGTTTCATGAAGATTGGACCAGGGGGTCCAATTCTATGGGCCCCCAAACAGGTTGCCCCCATCCCAGCTTGCTGCAGTTTAGTATTTTTTTTTCCCACCATAGAGAACAATGGAGGGATGGGGGCAAACTGTTTGGGGGAGCATGTTTGCAAACTTTTGCCAGACCAGCCAGCCCCAGCCACACTGCAGCAGAGAAGAACCATACAAGTGCCCCCCCACAACCTGTGCCGCCAAACTGGGTGCCCAAAACCCCAAAACCAACACAACTTGGCTCAAACCAAAGAATCTCTCTACAGCAGCAGCACTGAGGTAGCATGTCTGTGCATTACCAATGCCAGACAGACAGGCCCAGCAGCAGGACCAGAGCAATCTGCCCCCCCACAACCTGTGCCAAGG